GGACTACTTAAATTAGGTACCAAAAGTACACATGTGGCTAGTTGTATCCTCGTGAAATTGATATAATATCGTAATTATCTGAATAAAGCTAAGTGCTGAGGAACCTAAGTGGTCACCTTAATATATAAAAAAAAAAAAAAAATCTTGCAAAGCTACTAAGAGGTTCAGCAAAGCATTTAGTCTATATACTTAATATAGTAATAAAAGATATAAAAGAAAAAAACTTTGGGTTATAAGTGGTTTTACAGAATATGAAAAAGGTTTTTGATTTAGTTTTATTTAAAATTCTAAAAAAAATAATAAAAAAAGTTAAAATTTCACTTAAAATGATAGAGTTGGTTATTTTGTTTTTTGAAAGCAGAAAGTTATATATTATCAACAATAGAATTTATAAACCTAATAGAAATAAAGAATAAAATAAAACAAAAAGAAATATTTTTTTTATTACTTTAATATATCTTTTATAATCTATTATTGACAAGAATACAGAAAAGTAAAGAGTTTAATTATTGTATAAATGTTATAAGTCTAGATCTAACACAAAGGTAAAATAAAAAAAAACAAGAAATAAGAGTAATAGTAATAGTATATACAGATAATATTATATAAATTATTCCAAATGAACAGATAATAGAAAAAATATTAATAATTACAAACAAATTTTTTGAGCTTAATAATATACAGATTAATAAAAAAAATTAAATCTTATAGTATTTAACTTCAAAACTAAAGTAAAAAAAAAATATATAGTTTTTGACAATAAAAAAATTAAAAAGAAAATCATAATAAAAGTACTTAAGATATGATTTAATTGTAAAATAAATGATAATTATATATACTAGTGGTATGATTCAGATAATATAGATGAGGTAGTGTCATAACTATTCAAATCTATATAATAATAGATTATACAAAATCAAATCAAATCCTTATCCCGGGGTGCGGCAATCTAGTAAAGTGGTGGGTTGCTGCACCCCCAAGCAGCAGGTCTAGAGTTCGAATCCCATGGATGACGATTTTGAAAATTAGGCCTGTGATACGGTTAATAGTTATCGACATTGGTTGGGCTTAGATATCTGTAACCTTGATCACACTATCTCGAATAGGAGCTTTGGCGCAATAAATCCAAGAATCCGGAATAACTGAAAACCCGTTTGGCAAGTCCCAAGTTGGGAGTAGCAGTGATCTTTGACGGTACTACAGGAAGGCTAAATTTGAAACCAGAGACTGAGACCAGATAACCGAACGACCAGGTCCTTTAGTAGAGGAACATACTAGCCGAACTGCCAGAATGCCAAACCGGAGGAAAAGGACATATGCTTTGGAAGCATGTACCAAGGGAAGGGTGATCATGAGGCACTTAGAGCCTGGGCAGACCAACTCTTCTGGGTTGCCGGCTAGAAGTAAAGGAGAAACCGGTAAAGAATCTGGGAAAAAAGAAGGTTCGAATGTGGGTACTGGGTTGTTGTGAACTTTGCAAGAGCAAGAGTAAGTAACAGGGAACTAAATTAGGAAGGTTGTGGCTTGAGATATGGACTAGGTTGTGGCAGCATCCAAAGATGGCTTGAGATACGAACCAGGTAATGGCAGCATAGTATGTACTAGTTAAGGGAAATGTTACCGAACACGCAGGTGAGCACATGTGTGGGACATGTACTATTCAGTTAGGTTATCACAAGGATAAATGCCCCCCGTTCCGAAAGGAATGAGTGTTGGTTTGGCTAAAGTCCTAGGGTCTTTAACGGTAAATTACCCCGAAAGGGTATATTAGGAGGAAGCATGGGACAGAGGTGATACCAAAGAGTTTAAATAGATAGCTTCCTAGTTAGGCTATAGGTATGGCAGCTAGTGTAGAACCTTCGGGCGGACTACTTAAATTAGATAACCAAAAGTTGTATATGTGGCTAGTTGTACTCTTGTAATACCAATATAACATGTAGTCAAGTCTTTGGACATATAGCCTAACCACTTGTACTAATAAAATACCAAGGGTCTAAGTGGTCACTTTAATATTAAAAAAAAAAATAAAAATCAAATCCTTATCTATATAGATTTGATCAGCAATTTGTAGTTCTTAAACAGTTTTGTGTAGTTTAAATAGTTGATCAGCATTTGCATAATTAACTATAACCTATATAGCTTTAATAGTTAACTATAGCTAACTATAATTTTAATTATACGTTTATAATTATCATATAGAAGAAAATTTTATATGAATATTATAATTATTAAAATTAAGTGATTATGTAGTTTTAACAATTTATAGCTAAGAAAGCAAATAATTGTATAACTATACAATATTATATAAACAACTAAATTTTATAAAATATTATTATTGATTTAAATAATCTTCAAAATCAAAAAAAAATCCATCATATATATAAGCTTTATATATATTGTAATTAATTTTTTATATATTGCAATTAAAGTTTTTATATACTATAAAGTATTATTCGAATATATATATTTTAGTTATAAAATATAATATCTATGTTATAACTAGAGGATAGTAAAATTAATGGGGGACCAACTTGATATTACACAACTTGGTTTATAATTATTATAACTGATGTCATACGGCTATGGTTATACAAGAAAATTTATATATAAAGAATTGAAAATTTTTGGCATCGAATACTTGTTAAGCATTAAAAAGTTACCGATTCTAAAAGTAAGTAACATTTATGTAAGTTACAAGCTAATAAGTTATTTTTATCCGAAATAGAAGCTTTTAACAACTTATAGGTTCAATTTTGTAGCAAATACAGTCAGATCTTTCTAAGTGCGCCCTCTATAAGTGCACACTATCTCAATGCACACTCAAGTGTTAGCCCAAATATATACTTGACCTTATAAACACACTTTTTCTTATTCTCTCTATACATGTTATTAAAGTGTGATTTCACAGATATACACTTAGAGAGGTCTGACTGTATATAGAATTAACATTCTTTATAACATTATGAATAAAAGTATGATTATATTAGGTATGTAAAAAATTTTGATTCTTTACTATATTCGCTATTATGTATTTAATTTTATATGTATATTTATTTATTTGTTTTTGTATTTATATACATATTAGTATAAATATTAAAATAATCATAAAGAGTATATAACGATTAAAAAAAGTATATATTCAGGAACTTTTTATTCATCCTGTATATATAATGAAAAAACAAAGCATCATGATATAACTCGTGCAAAAGTAAAAGTTGCTATCGAGCTTGAATTAAGGGAAGAGAGGCTAAGGGAGGCTTCTGTGCATGGTGATTGTAATACCGGTACCAGTAGCTTTGCTTGCTTTATTTTAGAAATCAGAAATCGTTGATCTCAATCAGTTTTGCCATGGTACCATTTTCAGGACTTTATTAATTCATTTAATAATTTCTTTCATACAGTTATTAAATTACTTTCTACTTTTACTCCACAGCCTGATGTTAATAGTGCAAACGAGAAATGCTTTACATTTCGCTTGTGCTAGTGTACATAATGATTGTGTCAAACTATTAATTGAACATGGCGCAAATGTTAATGCGGAAGCAGACATTGCCAGAAATAGACCTTTACATTTGGGTAATAATCATCAACTCTTGTTCTTTTGTTTAATTATTATCAAATACAATAATTGCAATTTCT